ATTCTCATGGAAATAAGAAAACCTACCCCATTAACAATAGCCTCAAAAAAAAAAAATTGGGAATCAATGAAAGAGGTGAAAGATCTTTATAATGAAATTACGGAACCCTAAAGAAAGAAATAAAAGGAGATCTTAGAAGATGGAAAGATCTGCCTTGCTCTTGGATAGGCAGAATTAATATTAGCAAAATGACCAGTAGAGCACTCACCTAGCATGTGTGAGGCCCTGGGTTCAAACCCCAGAACCACATAAAAATAAATAAAGATAAAGGTATTATGTTCAACTACAACTAAAAAATAAATATTAAAAAAAAAATGACCATACTTCCAAAAGTACGATACAGATTCAATGCAATTCTAATCAAAATCCCAATGACATTCCTCATAGAAATAGAAAAAGCAATCATGAAATTCATCTGGAAAAATAGGAGATCTAGAATAGCTTAAGAAATACTAATCCTTAGGAAGAAGAGTGGAGCAAGTGGCATCACTGTATACAGAGCTTAAACTATATACTACAGAGCAATAGTAACAAAAACAGCATGGTATTGGCACCAAAACAGACTGGTAGACTAATGGTACAGAAGAGAAGACACAGAGACTAACCCACAAAATTACAGTTATCTTATATTAGACAAAGGTGCCAAAAACATACATTGGAGAAAAGACAGCCTCTTCAATCAATGGTGCTGGGAAAACTGGAAATCCATATGCAACCAAATGAAATTAAACCTCCTATTTCTCACTATGCACAAAACTCAACTCAAAATGGATCAAGGACTTAGGAATAAAACCAGAGACCTTGCATCTAATAGAAGAAAAAGTAGGCCCTAATCTCCATCATGTGGGATTAGGCCTCAACGTCCTTAATAAGACTTCTTTGGTGTAAGAATTAAAACCAAGCATCAATAAATAGGATGGATTCAAACTAAAAAGTTTCTTCTTAGCGAAAGAAACAATCTGTGAGGTGAATAGAGAGTCTACATCTTGGGAGAAAACTTTTACTCCTCAACATCAGATAGAACACTAACCTCTATGGTATATAAAGACTCAGAAAGTTAAACACCAAAAAAAAAACAACCCAATCAATAAATGGGCTGAGGACATGAACAGATACTCCTCAAATAATGATATATAATCAATCAACAAATATATGAAAAAATGTTCATCACTGCTAGCAATCAGAGAAATACAAATCAAAACCACTCTTAAGATTTCACCTCACTCCAGTCATAATGGCAGCTATTATAAAGACAAACAACAATAAGCTTTGGCAAGGATGTGGGGGAAAAGGTACACTCATATACTGCTGGTGGGACTGCAAACTGGTGCAGCCAATATGGAAAGCAGTATGGAGATTTCTTTAAAAATTGGGAATGGAACCACCATTTGACCCAGCTATCCCACTCCTTGGTGTATACCCAAAGGACTTAAAAACAGCATACTATAGGGACACTGTCACATCAATGTTTATAGCAGCACAATTCACAATAGCTAAACTGTGGAACCTAGATGCCCTTCAGTAGATAAAATGATTAAAAAAAAAAAGTGGCACATATACACAATAGAATATTGTTCAGCAATAAAAGAGAAAAAATCATGGCATTTGCAGGTAAATGGATGGAGTTAGAGAAGATAATAATAAGTAAAGTTAGCCAATCCCAAATAACTAAATGCCAAATGTTTTCTTTGATATGAAGCTGATTCATAGTGGGATAAGAAGGAGGAGCATGGGAGGAAAAGGTGAACTCTAGATAGGGCAGAGGTGAATGGAGGGGGCATGGGGTTAGAAATGATGGTGGAACATGATGATCATTATTATCCAAAGTACACATATGAAGACATAAATTGGTGTGAATATACTTTGTATACAACCACAGATATGAAAAATTGTGCTCTATATGTGTAATGAGAATTGTAATGCATTCCACTGTCATATATCAATAATAAAAAAATTATAGAAAAAAAAGCTTAAAATATCAGGATCTCTGGGATGAAACGGTACTCAGATAAACATTTATAACTTAAAGTACTTGTATCATAAAGAGGCTAGAATAGGGCTAGGGTTGTGGCTCAGCAGTAGAGTGCTCCCCTAGCACATGCGAGGCCCTGGGTTTGACCCTGAGCACCACATAAAAATAAATAAATAAAATAAAGGTATTGTGTCCAACTACAACTGAAAAAAAATTTTTTTAAAAAGCTAGAATAACAATGAAATTATTTTCAAATAAAGTAGTAGTAAGGAAAAAGTAAGAGTAGGAAAAGAAATATATATAATAGAGATAGTACAGCTAAAATTTAATAAAATCAAAGAAGTCTAATAAAAAAAAAAAAAGAACACAAATGGAAATGGAAAGGAAGCTATCAAAATAACCCTAAAGATGCTACAAATATATTAAGGTAATATTACAATTATATGCCAACATGTGAGAGCTTATATAATATAGTCTGTATTAGAGAAAGATAAGTGTGTTGCTGATAAGAAAGTGTATTCAGTCATTGATAGATGAAACATTCTATATGTCTGTTAAGTCTAAATTATTGATTGTAGTATTTCATTCTAATGTTTCTTCATTTAGGTTTTTTGGTTTTTTTGTTTTGTTTTGTTTTTTTGTGGTGCTGGGGATTGAACCCAGGGCCTTGTGTTCATGAGGCAAGCACTCTACCAACTGAGCTATATCCCCAACTCTCTGTTTAGTTTTTGTCTGGAGGATCCATTCAGCAGTGAGAGAGGTGTGTTAAAGTAAAGTCACCCAGTATTATTGTGTTGGGGTCTATTTGATTCTTGAAGTTGAGGAGGGTTTGTCTGATGTATGTAGATGTTCCATTGTTTGAGGAATAGATATTTATGATTGTTATGTCATGTTGATGTACAATTCTCTTAAGCAAATGTGCAATGTTGCTCTGATGCTTTTTTTTTTTTTTTTTTGATAAGGCTGAGGATTGAACCCAGGGCCTTAAGCATGCCAGGTAAACACATTATATCCCCAGCCCTATTATTAAAGGGACAAGTTCTTCTCTCCCCTCTTCTCCCCTTCTCTAACAAGATTAGGGAGACAGTGTTATCTTTTCTTCCCCAACACACCCACCACAGGAAGGAGATATCTGCCAGAGGATCTAAGAAGTGAATTTCAACATACCTACAGGGCACACCTGGAATCATAGGATTTAAATAGCTTCTTTAAAAGCCTTGTTTTCCCTGATGGGCAGAATCACAGCCTCAGGGACAGGAGTCCCCTGTGTTTCTCCTTTGCTAGCAAAGCAATAAAACTTCTTTTCCTTTTTTTCAAAACCATGTCCTCTATATTAAATTGGCATTAATTAGCACTGGGGAAACAGGATAAGCTTTTGGTTACAGGTTCAATCCCAGCACAAAAAAAAAAAAAAAAAAGAGAGAGAGAGAGAATTTATTTCCAACTTCAAAATTTTTGTTGCCATTTTCTTTTTTCCCAGTTCTTCCTACCTTTCAGATAAATACATTAACAAAATTTTCCATCACCAATTTCTTTTGTGATGTTTCTAGAGAAAATAAAATTGCATGCATGGATTTCCTTACTGACCTTTGGATAAAGGTTACTAAGCAGAAAGGTTGATACACAAATGTAATCTACATTAGATTCACCCAGACTTTTTGTATCCATAAAAATTTGATTATTTTGACATGACCTCTAACTGATCATATGTCAGAATAATCCATATTTTCTGGAGGAAAAAGCCTATCTAGAGAAGAAAGGAAATGGTTTCATTGATAGGCAATAAGATTTTTAGAAAATTATTTTAATACTTTATCTGACAATGAAGGTACAAAATAGAAATCATTGCCAGGTGTGGTGGCACAAGCCTGTAAATCCAAGTAGCTCAGAGGCCGAGGCAGGAGGATTGGAAGTTTAAAAGCCAGCCGCAACAATTTACCAAGGCCCTAAGCAATTTAGTAAGACCCTGTCTCAAAATAAATCAATTAAAAAAGGGCTGGGGATGTGGCTCAGTGGCTAAGCACCCCTGAGTTCAATCCCTGGTACAAAAAAAAAAAAAAAAAAAAAATTTTGCTGAAGAATGAACTTACTCATTTAACATAGGTTAACTGAGAACACAGAACCATGCAAGACTATGCATAAAAAACAGAGCTGTAAACTAAATTAATAGCTATTTCACTTGGCCACTAAGTTTTGGAGAAACTGTTGTTACACAGCAATACACTAGTACAACTAATTATGTTCTTTTTTGGGGAGTTGGTGGGTACCAGGGATTGAATTTAGGGACACTCGATCATTGAGTTATATCCGCAGCCCTATTTTGTAATTTTTTTAAGAGACAGGGTCTGACTGAGTTGCTTAGTGCCTCGATAAATTGCTGAGGCTGGCTTAGAACTCTTGATCCTCCTGCCTCAGCCTCCCAAGCCACTGGGATTACAGACATGTGCCACTGTGCCCAACCCCTAATTTTGTTCTTTTTGCTATGATGACAGATATGAAGTAAAAAACTGGGATATATCACATTTTTAGTGAAATACTAAAAATTTAATAGATTACTAAAAATAAATTTACAGTACTATTTTAATTTTTGATGCATGTTCATATGACACCATACCTAATAATATTTTTTCTTCATTTTGGTCAGAATTTAGCAAAACTGCATGGATAGTAGGTACTCAACTACCTATTAAAGTATTTACAAGTTAGTGGAACCTATGTGTTATATCCTAAAAGTAAAGTCATACTCATTTCTCAAAGTTAAAGCACTAGGTACTTACTGAAGATTTGTTATGATATATTATAATTGATAGATTTTAAGTTAAAGAGATTAAAGATTGAACATTACTGTTACGAGTTTCAGTTTTTATAATCTTAGCATTATTATGGCTATGTGGATACAGAACAGAGCCACAACTTCCAGGAACTATTCCTTCTAAATACTCATATTGAGTACATTGAAATTTATGTACCAATACTTTACCACCTTTCATATAATTCTCTAAAGAATAGAAGAAAATAGAAAAAGTACCTTTGATCTTACTCCGTAGATATTTTAGAACTTCTTGAGTTCCTTTCTGAAAGGGCAGAGAAAAAAACATGCATTCACCAAGAATACTTTGCAGTTTTACAGATCAACATATATACATTTACAATTCAATTGAAAGATAAAGAGCTGAATTTTAAATAGTTACATTTATAATTTCTCTCCGAATGGTTCTCAAAGGATTTCCTTCTAGTGCCAGGAATTTCAAATGTAGGTTTCCCAATGAACAGGGCAGGCTACAAAAGATTAAATTGATTTCAGAGAAAATGTTAAATATAAATCTAGACCAACCAAATAGTTAACTATAAATTAACAGCATATGACAAACAATATAATATAATAGTCTCAAAAAATGCCTACATAGGCCTAAAATGTTTTCCCTCAGATAAATGGTAAACATAAAAGAAAAACCAGACATATCTTCAAAGTTGTCATGATAAAATTGCTAAAAAAGAATGTTAGATACAAAATATTTGCTAACTTATATCTAGTGCTAAAAAGAAAATGTTAAAAATATATATTTTAATGAATCAGCAATTCAATCAGTCTCATTAATAATGTTTTAATTTTGTGCTTCAATGAAGCAAATAAAATTATTTCTAAATGAAAAAAAATGACAAATAAAAAGAACAAAATACATACCCAATTAGGTTTTCATTCAATAAGGACAGTCATTTTTATCTTTGGTACATAAAAAAGATAACCCATTTATACACATATACACTCTCAATAAAATTTATTGTTTCTACAAAATACCTCGAATTGGCAGGCATAGTGACAAAGTTCTTGCTCTGAAGTTCTCAATTGAACAAAGGAAAAAAACACATATAAAAGTGCACAAAATATAACAAATAATACATATGTTATATTGCTGGTGAGAATACATGTAATATAACTACTTTAAAAATGGTGTCTTTTAAAATTGAAGATATATCCACCATACAAGTAAGCAATTCTACTCCCTACATTTACCAAGCCCCCCAAATAAAAATAATAATGTCCACACAAAATCTTACACACGAATGTTCACAATAGCAAAAAAATTGAAGAACACCCAAATGTTCATCAACTAACTAGTAGAGATGACTAAATTGTGATATATCTACATAAAAGAATATTCAGCAAAAATGAATGAACTATATGAACACAACTACATGAGTGAATCACAAAAACTTTATGCTACATGAAAGAAGCCAAACACAAAAACTGTATACTGCATAAAGCCATTTATATGATTTTCTACAAAAGGCAAAGAGAGTACATAGTAGTTACTAGTTAGCAGTATGGAAACAGAATTGATGGCAAAAGGCGGAAAATTCTTGGGAAGACAAAAGTTTTCTAATATGACTGTGACAATGGTTACACAACTGTACACATTTGCCAAAAGTCATCAAATTATATGCTTTTATTATATGTAAGTCACATATCAAAAAATAACATTATATAAATAAATATATAATAAGAAAAACACTAAATAAGTAAAGTTGCTATGAAAATAGAAACAAGGATAAAGGAGTAGAAGGGAGTAACAACACCTGGATTTGGGCTTAAAATAAATGGGATTCCCTTAGGCATTAAGGCAGGAAAAGGGCATTTTAGGATAAAGAAACAAAAGGAAGGGGTCGTGGATGTATTGTTTGATGTAGTCAGAAAGCAGGATACCTAGAACAGCGAAAGAAAGAAGCAACCAAAAGTAGTTTCAGCTTCAGACACCCTTGATTGTTTTACCAGAAATTTTGGACTTTCTCTTTCAATTACTGGTTTGAAGACAAGATGTACCAAAATCTTCCCAGGAATTATTTTTTAAACAAAATAAAACAAAACAAACCGTAGGGTGTCATTGTAAGAGATTCTAATTCATTGGTACCTCAAAATCTGTATTATTTTTCCCCTTAATGCCTTTTAAATGATTCAAATACTCAGTCGTATTTGAGAAAACAGTGCTATGGCAATGGAAAACTATCAAAGCTTCTCAAGAAGATGAATGATTAGATATTTTTATTTTATAGAAACTATTCTAGTAACAGTGTTAGGAACCAGTATTTTAGTTAGAAGGAAATTTGAAGGGGTGGAAAATGACAAGAATTATTAGTATCTCAGAACTATATGCTTTGAGGGAAGGAAAAAAAACTCTAAAAATATACTAAAATATGATTATGTTGTAGGCCCTTTATCTCCAGAGCTCTAGAGAAAGAGGAAAATATGTGAATATATTTTCTGATATCAGAAAAATTGAAATACATTTTCTGACATTAAAAATATTTGTACCAACCATTTAGTTTTTGTTAAACATCTGCTTCCTACTGCTCTTATGCAGTAGACTAAATAAAACCACCAAGGAGAAAATTTTACATGTTAATATTTGTAAGAAGCAATAGATTCTTTTATTCATGACTGGAAAGATAAACACTTTTATAGATATTCAGGTCACTGCTTAATTCTATCATATATGTATGAAAAGGTGATCATTATCCAAAAGTTCAAATCAATGGTCTAAATATGCCATAAGTACATTGTGAAAGAAATGTTACTTTTAAAAATATTTATTAAAATATACACATAAAAGAAAATCTGCCTTGCCTAATTTTTTCTTCTTTTGTGAATAGTACTCCATATTTCTGGCATTCAAACTTAAAACAGTTGATATATGATCTGAGTCTGTATACATAAAATAATTCCAATTCTAAATATGATGTTTTATGACATTTTATGATTCTTTGCTCACTACTCTGCTTCTCTCCATGTCCAACATAATCAGTCAGCTGCTAAATACAATTTATTCTAATTCACCACACATATGCCTTTTTCTTTTCATTCCCATTGCTTTCAAAATTTAGTTCCTCATTACATAAATCTATACAACTCTCAATACAAGCCATTGACTAAAATGTGTTCCTTAGTGATAATTACTAAACTAACAGCTTTTAGATTTCCTACCTATAAAACCACTCCTATTCAATGTATTATTGTTATTTGCTGAGAGCCATTGCCAAGTAGGAATGACGCATAGCATGACCCAGGTCATTTGCAGTGACATTGCATGTAAGGTGACCTTGCTCAAGGACCAGGGCGGATCTGGGTTTAGGGCAGATCAGGGTTTATGGTGCTCCTTGGGTTTAGGGCGGTTCCAGATTTAAGGTGTATCCGGGTGCCTGGAGGCACCCGCTCCTGGAGTTCCCCTTGAGTTCTCGTGGGATTCAGAGCCCAATGGAGAGTGTGGATTTTGCCCAGAACCTGTGTGTAGAGTGCTGGTGACAGTTCGAGAATAATGAGTTGCTGTTTGAATCTACAAGGTGTGAGTGGCTCATGATTTTGTGCCCAGCCAGACTGCGGCAGTTATTGTTTTAATATTATACTCAAATTAGCCTTGTACATAGTCTTTCTATAGCACTTAAAATGAAAACTGTTTCTTCAAAGGTCTCTTCCATGTGGCTCAACTTAGTTTTCAAGCTCAAAATTTTTACAAGTTCCCTATGTGCACCTTATTTAGAATTCCCAAAGTTTTGTTTGTGCTGTTTCCTCTTGCCAAATGTATCATCCTCATTACCTTACACTTGAACCTGAAACTTCTATTGTATAAAGACCCGGTATAACTAAGATGAGGTGGAATTCTGAAAGTGAGTATGTTCTTACATTTTGTGTTCTAGGCAATTAACTTCCTCTTAGTGAACTGTAAATCCTTTAACCCCCCCAAAGTGCTTTATATTCCTCTAATGGCTTTACATTCATTTAACAGATCCAAGAAACATTTATAAAGCACCTTCTATATGCCAAAGGCACTGATCTAAGAGTTGGACATAGTACAGTGAAAAAAAACATAAAAATCCAGCCTGGGAGCTGTGTTGGCCAAATAATATTGTTATATTATGTGCTTGTATGAATACATAACAAGTCCCGCCATTATGTACAACAAAAAAATGTGGACCAAAAATCCAGTTTCCTTAGATCTTAGTTCTAGTGAATTACAGTAACTTGTTTCTACTTCTATAAATATATCAAGCCAGCTGCCAAGGACGAAATCTAGTTAATCTTTCTTTGTAGATAATATCTGCTCAATAAATATTTAGTGAATTCAAGATTTACAAAAGGATCTCATGTATTTATAAATATTTTAATTAATAAATTATGACTAAATACAAATATAACTTCTATTAATTTGATCTATTAACTTACCTACTAATGTCATTGTTGCTTAAGTCAAGCCTTTCCAAAGACTGTAGTAGTGTAATTTCATCTGGAACAGATTTTAACTTGTTATCCCTCAGGTCTAGCACGAGGATGGAATTCAGATGCTTAAGATGTTCTGCTCCTAACATTTCAATTTGGTTTTCACCTACATGCAATTCCTAAAAAAACAAAGATCAGCCATACACGTTCCTTATTCAATTTTATATTAGATAATGAAAATAAAATTGTGGGTACTCTTAATTTGAAATCATGGAAATATACATTAGAAAAAATACAACTTTCTTATTACTAAGGTACATTTTTAATTACATTTAAGCTATTTTACATATAAAGAAAAAAGGCAAAGAAGAATATCTTCAAAAAGGTTCTGGCAATAGAAAAATAATCAAAGATGAATCCTGCAGAAACATCAAGTTTACAAAACCAAAGTAGAGAAATGATTTACTAGCTACATTTATAATATTAATAAAAGCATAAGTCTAAAAAGCATGATGAAAAATTAGTTTCAAAACAAATCAGTACCAATCAAAAAATTTATATTTTAGTGAGTTCATGTAATGTTACCATTAATGATAATTATACACATTGGTATCCCATTAACAGAATTTATAATTATCAGTTGGAAAATTAGCTAATTTAATTAAATGAAAACTTTTCCATTATCATTTTTTTAGATCACTATTATCTTTCTATTTAGAAACTCTTTTAACACTAAAAGTAGATATAAAGAAAAGTAAATCATGACAAATTTTAAACAGAATTATAATGCTGTATTCTTTCTTTTTCTTTTTTTGGTACTGGGGATTGAACTCAGGAGCACTCAACCACTGAGCCGCATCCCCAGTCCTAGTTTGCATTCTATTTAGAGACAGGGTCCTCACCGAGTTGCTCATTGTCTCACTTTTGCTGAGCCTGGCTTTGAACTTGCGATCTTCCTGCTAAGATGCCGGATTACAGGCATGTGCCACTGCGCCTGGCTATAATGCTATATTCTTTTTTTTTTAATAATAATTTTTAATTGTAGATGGACACAATATATTTATATATTTATTTTTATGTGGTGCTGAGGATCAAACCCTTGCTTCATGCATGCAAGGCAAATGCTCTACTACTGAGCCACAACCCCAGCCCAACTCATTATTCTTTTTTTTTTGTGGTGCTGGGAATTGAAACCAGGGCCTTGTGCATGCGAGGCAAGCACTCTACCAACTGAGCTATATGTATCCCCAGCCTTCTAATGCTATACTTTTTTTTTTAATATTTAATTTTTAGTTGTGGTTGGACACAATACCTTTATTTTTTTTTATTTATTTATTTTTATGTGGTGCTGAGGATTGACCAGGGCCTTGCACATACTAGGCAAGCACTCTACCACTGAGCCACAACCCCAGCCCTCAGTGTTATATTCTTAAAGCCAAAATAAAGTAATTTTAAACAGATTGCATAAATGTGAGAGAAGCCAACTTATAGCATTAAGTAAATATTTCGTACTAGTATTTCAGGTCTCCCATAGGATAGTTCCAACATACCATGTTACCCTCATTATATAGTATTTCTCCAGTTATGAACTACTAATCAGGTGAAAGGACCAAATACCTATTTTTAAAAATTATTTTGTTTTAAAAATCTGTTACTAACAGTATCATTAAAGTTAGTAGTCACATTAAAATTCTAAAAAATACACACACACACACACACACACACACACACACCATTACTTATAACACACATGACCAAAAGATTAGGTCCTTTAAAAAAAATTCATTTTCATAAGCAACTTTTAGAAAATATACAGTTACTTAGTAATATACTAAATAGTACCTTCAATAGTCTACATGAAGGAAATTCTGGTAGAAAACGCAATTTATTCCTCCGTAAATAAAGCAATTCTAGCGATTCCATGCCAGCCAATTCAGGAGGTATAGTTTCCAAGAGATTTGAATTACAATCCAAATGCTTTAATCCTGCAATATATATTCAGTGAAAATAAAATGTTTAAAAAGAAAAAAAATTGGTGTATGATTATATAGAATTTCAAAGAATGGGTAATAAATCTCTGCAAGTACTTATGAACATATGCTAATGTATACTGGGGCAATAATCAAGAATACTCAAATATTCTTGAACTAAATAAATGTAAACTAAGTTTCTCTTTACATTTAATTAAAATTAAGACCTAATGATGTTAAAATTAGTATTTAATAATAATGCTTGTTATCTTTGTAGTGCAGTTAAAAAACAAGTTCTCCAGTACTCTATTGATTTAAAATATATAAATCATATACAATTATTATTGCATATATTATATACTCTTAAAAAGAAAAGGCTATAATTAAAGACATTTAACATATATGCACATTGACTGAATGAATGGACATCAAGTAACTGGCTAATAGTGTCTTAGAGTTACTGGGATTTTAGGTAAGTAGATTTTCTGCTAAAAAGACTTGGATTTTTATGTACTCCTTTCCATTCTTCCATTCATCCCTACTGCTTGCTACTCCTTCCCACTCCCATCTTCTTTTCTATTTTTTTAAAAATTATATGCTTCTCCTAACACCTCTGCTAACATTTCTGACAAGAATATTTACTACAGCTCAAAAGAATATCTTTTTTAAAAAAATATTTTTCTTTAGTTGTACATAGACACAATTACTTTGTTTAACTTATTTATTTTTATCTGCTGAAGATCGAACCCAGTGCCACACTCATGTTAGGGGAGCACTCTACCACTGAGTAACAACCACAGTCCATCAAAAGAATATCTTTACTTGCAGGATCTCTCTTTCAGCTCCTGGATCCTCCTTTCTTAAAGGCAATCAGAAAAACAAAATTGGAAAAGAAGTAAAGGTTTTCTTTTCTTAAGATTCAATAGGCATGGGCTGGAGTTGTAGTTCAGTGGTAGAGCGTTTGCTAGCATGCATGAGGCACTGGATTCAATCCTCAGCACCACATAAAAAATAAATAAATAAAAGATATTGTGTTCATCTATAACTAAAAAAATTAAAAAAAAAAAAAGATTCAATAGGCATACTCCATATTAGATTCTTCCACTTACTAGGGTCAACATCTATTCTCCTACCTCTCCAACAGACTGCAGTATGCATTCACAACTTATTTTCCTGCAGTTTGAGCCTGTTGGTTTTTAAATAATTCAAGGCTATATCGATATGTTGCCTTAGATTGCATATTTTCAAGTATATGAAGATGCTAACTGGTTTCAAAAGCAAATGAAACAGTACTACTTTCAACTAATAAAATTTATATATTATTTAACTAGAATAGTGAGAAAAGAATGTTGCTGTCTGATCCACTCAAATACAATAAATTTTTAAAATAAAAATTTGTTTTAAAGAATAATTTTTAGAAATGTTTGCATCTAGGAGCACTAACTGAAAGAATACAAGCAGTGGGGATAAAGCAAGAGGATTTCAGACCTGCTTTTAAAATTTACAACATAATTTCTTCATCAAGGTTTATCAATCTTTAAACTGTAAAAAAAAAAAATTACCTGATTTAACTTACAGAACTGTAAATTAAATTATGTGATGTCAAAATAATTTGAACAAAAGCATTGTAAAATTTCATGACACCATACAAATGAAGATATTATTCTTAGAATCCATTTATTTATAGTTAAATAACAATTAAATGTCCTATAAATATACAGGGTATATATTTATATAACTATATAGCTATATTAACTAACTATATATTTATATCTAGTTATAACTATATATTATTTATGTAGTTACATATATAGTTATATATAACTATATATAATATATAATATATGTAATATATAATATACATATATTATATAACTATATATAATATATTATATATAGTTATATATAACTATATATAATATATTATATATAACTATAAACTGCATAAAGACTATAATTATAATTAAAACTATATGAAGAGATAGCATAGCTGAACAAATGAAGAGATAGCATAGCTGAAAATCTTCATCAATTTCTCAATTACTTTTTAATATGCCTAAATATCTTTTGATGTTAATTCTTTAGAAATTTGTCAGATAATAATGGTCTGGAGAAAATGTGACTAAGTATTGCTTGCATTTACTATCATAAAATTATTATTTACTTCTCTATAATTATGTTACAAATTATTTTTCCAAAGGCAAGTTACATCAACTTCAAACTTATGTAGTTTTTTAAATATTTTAAAAATGATTTACTTTTCATTTTGCTTATTTCCGCTGGCAAACTCTTCAGTTGGTTACTGGAAAGATTGAGTCGTATCAGACTAGACAGAGAAGAAAAACTAACAGGAACAGTTGAAAGACGATTGCTTGAAAGATCCTTTAAAAGAAAGAATGAATGAATAAGTGAGAAAACAGGAGAGTATATAAATAGCCCTAAATGGAGTTTCAGAAATTGGGGGAAATGCAAGAAAAAAGACTACTTTAGAGGTGACTGATTTTGTAACTTTAACACAATTTCCCAGATTATCATTCACTTCAATGTTTTCAAATATCTATAGACCCACAATGTATTCATCAAGATAGCAGATAGAAATTAGAATGAATTCTTTTTTCTTTCTTCTTTCCACATATTTTTATTAGTGTATTATAGTTGTACATAATTATGGAATTTGTTGTTATATATTTACACGTGCACAAAATAAAACAATGTAATTTGGTGAATATCTATCCCTAGCACTTTTCCCTAGAATAAATTCTTACTTTAAAAATATTTTACATAAAGGTTACTATTAAAACTAAGGCACAGTATATCATGTTATGTTTGCAATGCATAAATATATTTTGTCCTTCTATTGAATGAATTAGGTACATTATTGGTAACCCATAATAACAAATGAAAGACATCTTTGCAAGATAGAAAAGTTCCTGAAAGAAAGAAAAACAAAGTGGAAAAAGTGGTCATTTCAATTTCTGACAAAAAATATATTCTCTTGGTTCTGCTGACTTCGGACGTTTACATTGGCCAAGATTAGAAGTCTTTTACTTTTGATGCATTCGAGCTAGCTTAATTTATCTCTATACTTCAATGTTTCTTTAAATTTTGAAGTTTCTCTTTTTTCTTTAAATGAGAGAACTATTTTTTAAAAAATCCTTTAAAAAACAATGTTATAAATCAGTAGTTCTTGTAACACTTGAATTAAGTGTAAAATGTTCCATTTTCTATCAGCAAAATGTTAAGTAGGGTCAATTGTAAGAATGAAAAGAAAAAAATGACTTAAAATAGCTATGAAGATTTTCAATAAGTCAAATATTAAACAACTGTATTCTGTAACTGAATAAATTGAGATAGAAAACAGTAAAAAGCTGAATCAGCTCATTTTTACAAAAATTTACTAATATAACACTATAATAATGTACAACATATAACCATATATTCTACAACTCTAATTCTCAAATAAAAATCAAGGAATTGCTTGATAATAAATAAATATTATATATTATTGAAAGTTTCAGAAATTAAATGGAATGGGATTAGTATTAGAACCTGGAACAAAAAGATAAGAGTAGTTAAAAAAAAAAAAAAACTAGAGAAATAATGAATTAAAATCTATAGTTAGAATTATGCCAATATGAATTTCTGAGTTTTTACAAATGTTTTATAAGTATACAAATGTTAACATTAGGAAAAGCTGGGTAAAAGGCATATATTTACAACTATAATAAATCTAACACTTTTCTAAAATGAAAAATTTTAAAAATAATTGCTAACAAATTAATTCAGAAATTCTCAAAACATTTTTGGGGGGGAGTACCAGGGATTGAAATCAGGCGCACTTGACCACTGAGCCACATCCCCAGCCCTATTTTGTATTTTATTTAGAGACAAGGTCTCACGAGTTGCTTAGCACCTCGATACTGCTGATGCTGGCTTTGAACTCACAATCCTCCTGCCTCAGCCTCCCTAGCCAATGGGATTACAGGTGTGTGCCACCAAGCCCAATGATTCTCAAAGCATTTTAAAAAACCCCAATCATTCTAATAAAAATCCTTCTAAATTCTAAATGGAATTACTAATAAAATTAAGTATTTAATTACTGTAGCAAGATATAAAACATAAGTATGGCCATATATAAACTAATCCATATTTATGCCAAGTTATTCCTTTCCTTCTAAATTCTACAACGTATTACTGATAAAATATTAAATTATTATAGTTGGTAAAGGTATAAAACATAAGTATACTATACATACACTAATCCATATTTATGCCAGTATTACTTCAACAAATATTTATTTAGTGCCATTGGGCTAAGCAGTTTTTATAAAGTTAAATTAGTAATTTAAATGGTCACAGGTATTTCTCATTTTAATCTGTTTTAATATGTTGTTTTACATATTTATGATTTATTTGACACTAAATCCTTAAGAACACAATTATCAAAGGAAAATTTCATTATGCAAATGACTGAAAACCCATAAAGTAGAACTGGGAAACTTCATTTATTATAAAGTTTCTTGCCAGCTTTTAACTCTAATGTATGTTTTTTAAATATCAACTACTTTTAATATTTATAAAATTTAAAAAAATTTATAAGAAAATCTGATAGTTTCCTTCTTTCATTCATTTTATCTACATATGCCTTTTTATTCTGTAACCTAATTTCCAATCTGACCAGACTGAACAACAACAAAACGTTGAAAGAGTAGCTTGGACATGTATATATTTTTTTTCAAACACTAGAGCAATTGAGGAGATTATCAAGGAGGTGGTACTTACAGAATAAATAAAAGTAAAAAGATTAATTTTTACTTTAGTGAGAAAGTTTAAGGTTAACATGACACAAATGAACTGTTGAAAACATGTAAAAGGGAAAAGAACCAAAATGCAATATGAAATAACTAATTAGAATACATAATATATATGAGAACCTCTCATTTGATGTGACTAAATTCTTTAAGATGGAATACTTCACAGTAGAGTCTTATTCCTTTGGTGGTAAACTGCAGAAAAAGGGATGCACTTTCACAGTTTGTTAATGTATTAAGGGATAGAACTATTTAGCTTGCCATATGTAAAACACGAAACAAAGATCTTATTGTTTTTATTATTAATAATATGATTAAAATACTATTTATTTTGCTTTATCATTATCTCTATTAAGGATATGTAAAACATAAAATAAAAGTTTTAGTAGGAAATATGGCCATTTTGGAAAATAGAGAAGAAAAAGGCATGTTTGAAGGGATTATCTAGATACTCACAGGGCTGGGCCACAGGTAATGTAAAGAACAAAAACAGTATGGGGGGGTTTGAGGTTGTGGCTTAGTGGTACAGCACTAGCCTAGTACGTGTGAGGCACTGGTTTCGATCCTCAGCACCATATAAAAGTAAATAAATAAAGGTATTGTGTCCATCTACAATAAAAATACATTAAAGCAACAACAAAAAAAGCAGTATAGGGATAGAAGAAAATTGATATATGCTAAAGACAACTTCCTTCTAAGCTATAAAAGTCTCTGAATAGTCACCTTCTTTGCTTTTTTCCAAACTCTAGTCCTGAGTTATAACTTGAAGTTGATTTAATAACATAGGAAAAACAAGTTTACAATTATTGCTTTAGCAATTTAATCGAAATACAAAATTTCTGATAATCTAATCATAAAATCAACCATCCAGGTCCCACAATTTCAATCATATCACATTTCTCAGTCTGATGAAAAAATCCCACCAGCCACAATAGTACAAAATTAGAAAATCACAACTTACTAAATCTTCTAAATTGGAAAGTTGTTCAAATCCCTCTGGTATGTAAGTTAGTTCATTATGCTGGAGGTACAGGCCTTTCAGGTTTTTTAGATTTGTAATTTCTTCAGGGAGCATTTTCAGTTTGTTATGGCTATTGATTGATAAAATAAATGCTGAATAATTTAGTAAACAACGCAATAGATATTTATCAAAGACATTCTTGCTAATCAACTATGTGAACCTGTTAGAAAAATAAGATATGGTTATTAATTTTAAGTACTTATCAAAATTCACTTTCCAAAAATATATACTCATTAAAATAACAGTAATCTAAAGTAACCAAATTAGAATCTTAAAGAAATAAAGTTTCTAAATAAACATATAATCAGTGAACTTCTAATTTCTTGCTTATAATCAACTTAATTTTACATGTATCATGAAAGGACTTATTGTACTCTTAATTGCCTAGCGTGTGTGAGGCACTAGGTTATTGTACTCTTACTTTTGTACTTATTGTAACTTTTTATACTGTATCTGACTTGTGTACATTTACCCACACCCTACAGAAGAGTTATATTTTATATGGAGGTAAGGTTGTAAACATAGCATTCAAGACAAAAATATCTAGTTCTGTTTGAGGGCCTGACATGTCAATTCCAGTCTGAACTTTTCAGTTGTACCCTTCTCTAGAGACACTCAGTTTACTGATTTAGGAGAAGTCCCACATCACTGAGGATGATATGCTCCCTGGTTATTAAGAGAGAAATGAAGAGATTCCCAAATTTATCACAACTTCATTATTCACTTATGAATTCTACTCTACTATCATGACATAGTTACTTCATGCACTAAAAGGGGGAAATAGAAATATGAGGGGCTGTATAATAACCCTAAATTACATTAAAAAAAAAAAACTAACTACAACAAAAAAGCCAAAACAAGCCATTCGTTCTTGTTTTCTAAAATAAGAACGAGTAAGACTATTAAAAGTTGGTTATTATTCTAGGTTATGTAGCTGAAGTCTGGGTATATTTGATAAAGATTGAGATGGGAAAAGATATAATTCTAGCTATATATTTCCTCCATCTTGAAATTCATATGCTTAACGTTTTAGAATCTAAAGCTGACCGCCCCCCCCCCATGCTTAATACTCCTCACTCTTGTCCTTGCAGGCTCTGTCTATACTTTTGACTTATAAGAGGAAGATCCTCTGATGCATATCTAAACAATTAGCACCTTTTCAAGTGTAGATAGTGTTTTTTTGTTGTTGTTGTTGTTGCTGATAGACCTTCATTTGTTTATATGTGGTGCTGAGAATCGAACCCAGTGCCTCACACATGCCAGGCAAGTGCGTTACCACTGATCCACAGCCCATCAGGTGTAGATAGTTTTTCTGATTTATGGTAATTTCAAGTTTTTCACTGAATGAGGACTGTTATTTTAGGGACTGTTTTTCTCAAACCAGTTACCTTACCACTAGAAAACAGAACTGACTATACTGTGTTAAATAGATCTATAACCATATCTGTTTTATAACCAGTTTCTTTTCCTAAATGAAATCTCCCCTAACTTCTTTCTCTTAATCTATGTGTATATAACATAGACAGGGCAAAGATATTCTTTCTTATAAATCTGGGTGTTAATTGGGAGGGAGCATTTAGAGCCTCAGCCACCTAGCATCCTATCTGCCAATGACAGTACCAGAAATATGCATGGAACACAAGGGGTCCTTGGAAAAGTTTAAAAATTGCTAATATTAAAAACCCTGAGGGCTGGGGATTTAGCTTAGTGGTAGAGAACTTGCCTAGCATGTGTGAGGCATGTGCGAGTTTGATCTCAGGCACCACACACACAAAAAAACAACCACAAAATTCTTCAGCATTAATAAAGGAATTGATTAATAACTCTTCTTTATTGTCTAGATACTTTCTAGAATATAGAGGTAATTTGTTGGAGGACGTGTATGAATTACGGGCTTGTTTGAGCCATAACAAGGCAGGGAGGTTGCTTTCCTTGGAACTCCTAAGTGAAATTCCCTATTAGATAATTCCAGATTATGCTGATACCCTGCCTTAGCTAATAGCCCTAGGTTCAAAAGCAGCTGCCCCTGAGGTACAGGAGGTGGGCCTAACCTACTAACATCCAGAGGAATTGTTTCTACTATCTTCTTTCTGTTTCCTCAGGAAGTTCTTTACTCGGAATCCCACTGGTGTTCCCATTCATTTAAATGACTTCATTTTGGGGAGTTAGACCCAGTCTCCATCAAAGTTGGTCCCAATTGAATTCTGCTCTTTTACTTATTTTCACGTTTTGTCTTATTTCTTAAATTACTCATACCTTTAATATTTCTAATTTGACTCACTGCCCTAACTTGGGGAAACTGAGTAAACTTCATATGGGTCATGATAGTAATTTAAAACTTGATATGACCTGAATCTTTCTATATTATCTCATAAACATAAAACAAACACTTTTTTTTTTTTGGTAATGGGGACTGAATCCAGGGCTTTGTCCATCCTAGGTAAGCAGTCAAAAACATTTATTTTAAATCAACTGGCCTTAAATTCATAAAACCAGAAAACATGTAGGGAATTCTAAAACCAAACACAAAGACAAATGCTCTGCTGAGAGTAGAGGGGCCAGTCTATAGTCCTAGCTACATGGGGTTAAGTCAGGAGAATTGCTTGAGCATAGCTGTTCAGGGACCACCTGGGAAATGTAGCAAAACCCATCTTTTTAAAAAGGACAACTAATTAAGAATTAAAAGTTAAGGGCTGGGTCTGTGGCTCAGAGGCAGAGCGCTTGACTAGCATGCATGAGGCACTTGGTTCGATCCTCAGCACCACAAAATAAAATAAAGGCATTGTGTCCACCTATAAATAAAAAATAAATATTAAAAAAAGAAATTAAAATTCTTATTCAACTATTTTCTAAGATAACACCAAGTTTTTTTTGGTTTTTTGGTGCTGGGTACTGAACCCAGGGCCTCATGGATGTTACCCACAGGTTCTACCTCAGAGCTATGCCCCAGCCTCATGATATTTTCTAATGTTAGAAAATAATTTTAAAGAATACTAAATCTATACCATTATAATTGCAACATTAGAAATAAATAAGCTTAAATTTTACCTGACATTAAGCTTCTGAAGATTTTCAAGTTCTCTTAGAGCAGAAGGAAGTGATGTTAGCTGATTATCATGTATCTAAAATTATTAAAAGGAAATCAGTATTCTTATAATTAACAACACATGATCTTGGTTTTATACAAAATTATTCACTGATAATCCCTGTTCTTCTAATTCAATGACATGACACCTATTTGTAATTTGTTCTGAGTATAGAAGAGGAAAAGAGGTTTAAAACTGACCCAACTACTGCTTAGAAATCATGAAGTAATAAGTTATTGATTTTAAATATTACCAAAATAAAACAAAAAAGCTTCACCTCATCGAGTGGAGTTTTAATGTCATGTACAGGTGAAGATATTATTTACGTCAACATATACAAAAATTTCATAAGAGAGAGAAGAACTTTTCTCATGTTCTCACAGAAACATACTGTTTTTAAGGGAGAAAGTATCTTGGAGTAGGCCAATTCAATCATTTCACAAATAAACACACACACAAAAAAAACTTCTCTAGAAATTTCACTATTTTCATTCAATCTTTTTCACACATGAATTAGAGGATTTTTGATGTTGCTATGTAAACCAGAAGTTTATATACTCTGAAATAACTATTAATGCTCCAATTTACCATGACATAGTGACTAGAGACTAAAAACTGAATGCCTTAATAAAAATCACAAAAATTTGAGTTTAATAGTTTAAGTCAGTGAGATTGAAAGTGAATTACAAAAAAACCCTTAAATACTACACTTGTTTTAATGTCTAGAGTAATAGTGATGATAAAATATAGCAATAAGAAAAAAGATGAGTAGAAGCAACAATTAAATACTGATGTACGTGTTAACACAGAGAATTCTAATAATTAAAAATAGTAGTATCTTTTCTCATTGATACATATGGAAACTAAAGCACAAATAGGAAACCTCAAAGTCACTGGCTGTTAACTTGGAAAGTCAGAATTAAAAACTGATGTTTTACTCCCTTAACCATTATGCAATGCATGACATAATAATATTATTTTCCCTTGGACTGTATCAACTTAACATGAAGACTTTTCTGCTTATCAAAGCCTAACTTTAGCTTTGGAGTCTCTTCAACCAACAACACATAATTATATTCAACTTACATCAAGAACAGTCAGTGCAGGTAAGAGTCTAAGGTCATCTGTCAGTGACTGAAGTTTATTGTTTGATATGATTAGTTTGGTCAAATCTGTCTGTTCCCACCATCGTTCAGCAGAACTGAAGGAAAGATTCTGATTAGCTTCTTCAGGGATATCCACGTTTATTCTCCAAACACACTGAGGCACTATTTCCACCACCACCATAAAAAAAAAAGATATTAGATATTAAATTTTGGTAATAACCATTCAATTTATCCACTAAAAAACAATTTCAGAAACAAATATTTTCCAATAAGTCAAATAGCAATAAATTACAGCTACACCAAAAGCTGATTTCATTCAAAAACAGACTAGTATGTACTTTATACATTAGATCTCACTTTTAATTTTATTCATTTACACACGAGGTATACTCTGTATAACACTTTTTGATAAATATATAAAATATACTCTACTATCATGCTAACAAAGTTACAGAAAAGGCTTGGAAATCAGCATTTGTATTTACAAATTATTAATTGTATTTATAATATCAAAACTTTTGTAACAGAAGTGTATACTGAGTTTCAGAAAGGTCTAGTAGTACTTGTAGTAATAAATAATAGCTAACGAAAATATCAGGCAATCTTCTAACAAACCAATGCATTTAAACCTTGTAACAGGGTTGGGGGTGTAGTTTACTGGTAAGGCATTACCTGTCATCACACATAAATTAACTATCGAGTTCCTTGTCTCATAATCCAAACTCCCTTGGATTTCAGTAAAAAAATTAAATGTTCTCTTTCAACTTCTGAGGCATTTTTTCTTGTTTTCATTAAGAAATGTATAAGATTTGCTTTTTTTGTTGACAGCATACTCACCTGGAAGCATTTTTTTCCCCTGAAATGAAAATGGTCAGTTTTTATTAGTTATTTAGAATATCCCAATGAGTTACATTACGCAAGCAGTAGCTAAAACTCAGATTCAGTCTAAATAGTAATGCAGAGCATGGTTTATAAGAATTTAAGATGGTTACTGAAAGCCTAAAGAAATGGTTTATTTTATACTTTTTATCTGTTCTAACTGTATACTTAATAAAATAAATCATTATTACCCTAAAACAGTATGGTTTTTGAAGCTTAGGATCACTAGACCTAGTTACTTAATTGTACAAGTGAAAACTAATCCTCTGTTCTCTTCAAGGTAAGGAAGAAAAGCCTTACAACAATATTTCCCTTTCAAATAATATGGTTTCCAAAGTAAATTGCTTTGTTTAATAAATTATCTGCCTACCAATTTTCCTTTCAGTTCAAGTAGTTTCCATTAGAATTTGCACATTCTTTTTTCTCAAACTGTGGCACATTTTCATTTTCCTTAGTGTTAGATGAAACACTTAAAAACATTTCTACACTATTGTTCTGCCATGATTATGCAACCAGAAAGCAACAATCCATATTTTCTTTATCACTCTGTCCTCATTTTATCTAGCTCAGTGAAAAAAAGAGCTGCACTATTTACATTGAAACAAAGAGATGATATATTCTGCTGCTGTTCATAAAAACAGCTGTCACCAGGGATATTTTTACTGTTTCTGTAGTTCACCCTTTGTAGAATGTCTCATAATTTAAGTCATATCTGTATCTAGCTTTTTTAGATTGCCTTTTCTCCTCTTATATCTCCCCCTAAGAAATATGGTTCTCGAGATCCTCTGATAACTTGATAGCTCATTTCTTTTTATTGTCAAATAATATTCCATCATATGGATGTACCATTTTGTTTATACACTCACCTTCTGAAAGATATTTCGGTTGCTTCAATTTGGAGCAATTAAGAATAAATCAGCTATAAGTATTCATGTTCAGATTTTTGAGGGGATGTAAGTGTTCAACTCAATTTACGTAAAAACTTAGAAGCATGATCACTGGATCATATAAGACTATGTTTAGCCTTATAAGAAATTGTCGAACTGTCTTCCAAAGTGACACTACCATTTATCTTTCCACAAGCAAATGAATGAAAGCTCCTTTTGCTCCATACCAGCATTTGGTATTATCAGGTTTTTGGATTTTAGTCATGTTACTAGATGTGTTATGTTATATGCTGTTTCCTAGTGATGAATAAAGTTGAATATATATTTATAAGCACATCTGCCATATATATATCTTCTTTGGTTAGGGGTCTTTTCAGAACTTTGGCCCATTTTTAAACTGGGTTGTTACTTTTCTTCATGTGGAACATATTTGTCTTCTTATGTCACTTGTTTCTGCTACCTAATTGATGGGTCCATGAGTAAGTAATATAAAAGTAGCCAATAGCCTGTTGGTTATGGTTTTTAGAGTGTTCTGGAAAGAAGTTTCAGTAACGTTTTTTGACATAACCAAAACAATTGTAGATGGTGATTTTTTTTTTCCAATAAACTTTTCCCTTGATCCAGTCTGTACACTGCTATACTTTTAATAAATATTTTTAAAAGTCTTCTCATGCTGGGCCTGGTGGCACACACCTATAATCCCAGCAGCTGCAGAGGCTGAGGCAGAAGGATTGCAAGTTTGAAGCTAGCCTCAGCAATTTATCTAGATGTCTCAAAATAAAAAATACAGGGGATGGGGCTGGGGCTCAGCAGTAGCATACTTGCCTGGCATGTGTGAAGTACTGGGTTCAATTCTCAGCACCACATAAATAAAATAAAGGTCTATCAATAACTAAAAAAAAAAAAGGAGAAGGGGTTGATGGTATGCCTTAGTGGTTAAGCACCCCTAAATTCTCATTGGCAGTACAAAAAAAAGTCTTCTCGTTATCTTTATTTGTGCCTCCAAATATTATTACTTTGAATTATGAATTATATTCAAAAGATATTTTGAAACATGTCTTCTTTCAGATTGCTTTCCACATATATACAAGATATTTCATATAACATGTGAAAGTGTTATGTATGATATGTGAAGGTATACAAATATGCATTTAAATAGTATGTTACTTATCAACTATTTATGTTTCTTCCAGATATTGTGCTAGGTACTAAATAAATGAAATAAAAATTAATGATACCTTCACATAATTCCTTTTCTCATAAGCCTTTTCACATAAGCTTCATTATTATTTATTGGGGGAAGGTAGGTAAGGAATAAATGTGTACAGCACAAGGGATTTTTGTGGCAGTGAAACTATTCCTCATGACAGTATAATGGTAAACACATGATATGAACTTGTCAAAACCCATAAAATGATACAACACTAACAATGAATCCTAATGTAAATAAATAAACTTCAGTTAATAATAGTGTTGTTATTATTGGCTCATCAATTATTAAAAATGTACCTGATGTAATGCAAGATGTTATTAAAAGAGAAAAATGTAAGTGGTGAGGGGGAGGAGGTAAATGAGAACACAATGTACAATATGCTCAATTTTCTATAAACCTAAAATAGTTATCAAAGAATGTACAAGTGTAACTGGGGAAAAGGCAACACTTTGTTATTATTGTTGTTAAAGAACAATAATAACAAAGTGTTATCTCTTTTCAGCAAAAGAGATAGGAAACCACAAAGTAGACGGTTGGGGACAAGATTATGAAAATCTTTTGAATGTTATGCTAAGAACATTATATTGCATCTTGTGAGCTATGAAATGTTATTAAAATGTTTTGTGAGATATGGTAAAATCTGTGTTGGGAAGGTAACTCTTGTAATGACACTAAGAGAGTGAGGTTTAAAGTGAGAAACCCAGGATAACAGGCCATACCATAACAGAAATGCTCAATTTTATTTTATGTAGCAGGCATTTTACCTATGTTACTTATATAAACCTTAGTAAGTCTTATTATTTAATTATAAGTGAAAAACTAAGGAACATCTCCATGTTATATGAGCTAAGAAATGGAGAAAATGAGGGTTATCCCCAAAAGGAATACAAATAGTACAGAATGATAGTGATTTGAATATCAAAGTTTAGAGTGATAAGACATGAAACTGAAGTCTAAAGCCAGTTAGGGAAAGATCTTCTATATTATGGTAACAGAAATCCCTTTTTCATACATAAGCTACAAATACCTCAAGCCTTTCCTATTTATACCTTCTTCATCCTATGAAATATTATATATTCACTCACTGAACACAACAGTTACTGTGTCAGGTTCAGTACAACTTAAACAGTCCTGATCCATATCGGCATGAACCTAAGAGTCCAAATTTTCTACCTAAAAGTTTAACACACTAAATCACATGGATCTAGTCAATAAACACATTCCAAAACATCACTTAGCACTGGAGAATATTCACTCATTTACTTATCGTGGCCACAAATAGATCCTACAATACAGCAAACACTATTTTGGGAGCTAGGGATACAACAATGAACAAAAGAAAGCTACCTGACCTTGAGGAAGTAACAGTCTAACTAATGGGCAAGGTAAGCAATAATTAAATTATATAAGTCCTTATAGTGATTCTATTTAAAAAATTAAACAGGTGAGACAACAGTGTGTTACCAGTGGTAATTATGATGGTTTGGAAGGGCCTCTTGGAATTGAGCTCTGAGCAAAAACCCTAAAGGAAGCAAGAGAGTCAAAAAAGAAAATGTTCGACTTTGGAAAAAGCAAATATATATGGGAAAAGGAGGCAAGGGAGGGAGAGGGACAGTGACTGGGTTGGGTGGGGAGAAAAAAGCTTATCTGTAGTTTCAAAGTGTTTATGCCCCATCTATAAAAATTCTTATAAATAAAGCAAGGATTTTATGCCATATACCCTTTCATTTATTCAGTAAAGTATTTGTTTGCCTGGTTTACATTATTCACGGCACAATAAGTTAATATTCATTAGAAGGAAAATGGAAGGTTTTAATTGCAGTGTAAAAAGCTGAATGTAAGTAGAGGAAAACATTACAGGAAGAATGCTTTATTTCTCCACTTCTCCCTCATTGCTCCCTTACCCCCACGCACAGGCCACTCCAAAAGCATCTGGCCTTTCATTGTTTTACCCAGATTACTGTTTCTTTGTCTTTATCAGGTTTTTCAGAGTGGCCTCAAATTCATGGACTTTGTGTGGCGTTTATTCCAATCCTCAATTTAGAAAACCTGCTCATCATTCCTGGTCATTAGGACTCTACCCAAGTTCATAAAGAAGAGGTCTCGCATTCACTCAAGGCTCACAAAGGAGTAGACAAAATACAGAATTTTAGCGTCGGTAATTTTCCTTAGAGAACAAATTGAGAAAAAGAAAGTAAGAGTCAAAGAAAATATTTTCCCAATATCTGATAGGTAGTTTACTCTACCATTACGTTGCCTATTCCTTTTTATGCGGGAGTCCCTGAAAGCGTCCGCTTTAAATTTTGTCCATAGTCCCAGAAGGGTACCTCCAACAGATGCTGGAGCCAGAGAAGTAAGGAAACTGGGAGGCCACGTCAGTCGAAATGTTAAGAGTGCCTGGATTACCGCACAGGGATCCTGGCTAAGAGGCAAAGCCAAGCTCGAGGAAAGGAGGTTGCCTTGAGCTAGGGCTTTCTGCCTGCACGGCACAAACTGGTAGCACCTTTGAGTCTTACCTTCACTGAGGTTCCTACCCGACAAGTTTAACTGTCCGCTCCTCCTCGCCGCCTTTAACAGCCCCTGGGGCACAGAAGTAGTGCAGTCTCTCCCCTCAGCTCTGAAACCCGCTCGCGGATCCCGCCCGGGTACCCGTTGCAGGCGCGACATGTTCAAATCCTGGATCTGCAAGCGGCAGCCCCACCCATGACGCTTAAATGTGGCGCCGCCACACCACCCCGCCCCTTCCGTAAACGCGCGCTCTGTGCGCGGAGTTCGTGGCTTCGCGCTGGGCCTTTCGCTCCGTGCGGCGCGGCGCAGATGTCGTCACCGCCAGCTCCCGGGGCTGGAGGACAGAGCAGCCCCTTCAGTTGCCGGTGCCGGCCTAGCGTCCTGGAATTACTTCGCTCTAGTAAGTGCGTTCAGCGGGCTTAAGAGGGGCTTTCGGGTTTATTGTTTGCTCCGGTTACTGCGACTCCAGCCTTCTGTATGCTTCCACCGTGGCGAGGGGGTTGGGAAAGGATAACCCTCTCTTCTCCCCTCTTCTAGTCTGAACGTGGGCCTTAACTAAAACTTGAGACCTGGGCGCGGTCTGCAGCCTCTCTGGACCCCAGCCTGTCTGTCGCTGGGGGTAGTGGCACCAGACCTCCGTCGTAAGGAGTAAAAGAGATTTCCTGGTCTTGGAGCCTGTACTCTTGACTCCTGGAGTTAGTGCATCACTCCCGTTGTTGTGTTGAAACAGCCCAACGTTGGAGGGAATGTGAAATCAAAGGATTGGCAACCTAGAAAAAGAGAGTAAAAAAAGTTTAAAATGTAAAAAATGTCCTGCCTACCAGACAATTGTAGGAGACAAGTGGACGGTAAAGGAGACAAGTGTGGTACAAGCTTTAGTGAATCACAAACAGCCCTGACTTTGAAGCCCCGGAAGTGAAAGTTCCAATCCCACCTGCTTACTGTTGCTGGCCAGCGAGCCCAGGATCCCTCTGGATGGCCGGATGTGTCCCCCACATAAGAAATAGACAAAAGATGGAAAAGGGAAGAATGAACGTTAGGCAGTTTGATCAAACCTGGGAGAAGCAGCAAGATTCCTTCTCTCCCTTCATCCCATAAAAGCAGTTATAATTTATAGGAACAAATGCAGCTGATACCTAGATGTAGAATTAATTGGCCGGAAGAGGAGGCAAAGGGGACAAGAGGCATCAAGTAAACAAGCAGATTTAGTGTTAGACCTGAGTGGGCAATCTTCTTTCCTGCTCGCCATCATCTTTAGAGTCTGTATGTGGGACTGGTGTGTGTGTGTTGGGGACGAGGGCGGGGATATCTCAGCCCTTTAGCTTCCTTTCTCAGTAGGAAGGATTTTGTTCCCATCAATGTCAAGTTCAGTCAGTTTCATTTCATACCGTGTAACTAAAGCAGTTTTACTCGACAGCTTTTGAAAGTCATTCTTTTCATTACTTTAGGAATAACAATTTCTAACTTATAAGCTTTTGGAAATAATTTGATGAAAGCAATAGTTTAAATCCCTTGGTTGAGGGAAGGGACTTGGGTTCAGAATAAAATATAGAAAGTTTGTCCAGTAAATCCGTGTTTCCTGGAAAGTTAGTTTATGTCTGAAAGGTACAGTTCATTAAGTCATTCAACAAGTGTTTATTAAGAACTCACCCTGTATAGTACTCTTCTGGGTGCTAGACTTTTTCTTCTCCAGAGTGATTTTGTCTTAAAAGCAGATATTCTCCTAACCTCCAGGGAATCTACTGTGGATCTGAAGTGTTAATTGAACAGTAAAATGACATCTCTTGACAAAATATGCATTATGCAGTTTTACCTGAATCCAGGTTCATGTCCTTTTTGCATGTAAGATTTGGTTTTAAACACCCTATTTATTTTTTTCTTCCTATTCAATATAGTGACCAGTTTTACAGATAAAGAAATAGAAGCTAAATGAAGTTAGGAATCTTGCCTAAGATCATAAATTTCTATAAGGAGCGTGGCCAGGCAGTTAAACCTGGATCTTTCTCCAACCATGAGTTGCCTAGTGGCTTTTCATAATTTCCAATTTGCTTTTATTATGGAATCATTTTAAGGAATACTTCAGTTGTATTTTGTTGTTGTTTTTGCGGTGCTGGGGATTGAACCCAGAGCCTTGTGCGTGCTAGGCAAGTGCTCTACCACTGAGCTACATCCCTAACCAACTTCAATTGCTTTAAAACAAATTTGAGAACAAACTTTTTTCTGTTTTCTAGGAGGTAACGCTCTACCTTAAGATAATAAATTGCTGCAAAATTTTGTAGTACCTATTCCTCTACCTACAACAGATTCTTGCTTAGTTTTGCTCTTAAATATAGCTAGGTGTACTTGTTTGATTCATTGTGATTCTACTGGAATCTACTGAATTCTAATCATTATTGATGTTTAATGACATCATGTTGAAACATTGTTTCATTTTGAATAAAAGAGGCATATCCTATTTAATGACAAAATAATTCTGAAAAACTCAAGTGGCCATATACTTGTAAACGTCAACAGATGTAACTGACATACATAAAAATTTTACTAGCATATAGCTGTAATAAAAATGGAGATTGAGGAAGTAAAAATTATTACCTCATGCAATTGGGAAAATTATATGTCTGTCTCAAATTGATGGATACTGAAAGCTAATCCACTTGGATTAAATTTCTTCTTCTTTTTTTTAAAGTCTTTCTTTTATTTATTTTTATGTGGTGCTAAGGATTGAACCCAGTGCCTCGCACATGCTAGGCAAGCACTCTACCACTGAGCCACAACCCCAGCCCCTGGATTAAACTTCTTTATGAAAGTAGTTACGATATTATATGGTTATATTAGTGGGAATTAGGTCTTTATATTAGTTGTATTACTTAAAAGTGCATTAAAAACAAAAGTTCTAACCGTTTTCAACACAGGTATGAAAGTGAAATTGTTAGCTTTTTAAAAAATGGTACATTATTAAAATAATATGAAAAGGTTATCTCCTGAGTCAGACTGGCTACTGTTGTACACCTACTTTAGTAGCAGAATTATCTAGCAACAATTTATTATGTTCATTTTATTTAAGTACTGAAAGTTTTACTTTTTAAGCTTCTTTGCTAACTGAAAACAGAAACTAAAAACCAAAAATGTTAAGCACAACAATCATATGACCCAAAGAACTCTATTCTGTTTTGTAATGAAAAATAAGACTTTATCAAATTAAGATATAGTAGCTATCTTACATTAAAATTTAATAAGGTATTTTCAGATGTGGTTGTATTGGGGAAAATTATATGTCTATCTCAAATTGATGTAAAACATTGCTATGTATTAGATTTATTTTTTCAAAGTTGAAAGGTACAATTGATAAGATGGATTTACTGAAACAAATCTAAAATTTCTACTAAGGGAAGATGAGGTTAAATTGTGTAGGTTTTCTAAGCACAATTGTTTAAAAACTATAATCAAGAGCAAAGCAAGTCTGCTTTGCAAACATTTCTCTGAAGTTTCTTTTCATGTAAAATAACAGATTTTGCCTGTTTGAAGCAGTATTACATTTATCTTTCAAAATATTAGCTATGAGAACTTGTTATCTTATGTAAAAGTTATTGAGACAACATTTTAGTTCATGTTACAGATACCAATTTGTAATTTCATATTTGTTTTTCCTTTAGGTGTTTAAGTTCCAACTTTGGAAAATAGTGAAAAAAAAAGTTTCTTTGAAGGCATTACATATTTTTCATTTTTATTAGTAGTTTTTCAAATGTGACTTTGAATTGAATTCTATTATTATTAAGAAGTGAGTGAGATAATTATTTTTCTTAGTGGAGAAAGTGCATTTTGTTTATGATTATACAATTATGTATTCTTTGTATTTTCCCACTGCTTTTCTTCATGCTTTTGAATCATGAAGCAAGTTTCCTGCTCTAAGAGATTTAATATTTGATTCTAATATTTGATCTTAGATTCCTCTCTACTTTTGATATAAAAGAATTCTAGTTTACTGCTTTAGGAAAATAAAAAGCCTTTTATAACATGTTAGTGTTTTGGAGACACTAGTAAAATAGATGTATCCTAAATACTTTTAGTTTTTGTTATTGTTGTTTATTTTCTTTCTACTGAAGAAAAATGAAAAAGATGGTGGATAAACCATTCTTGCAAATGCCAGTTAAGATAAGTTGCTATGGTGTTGAGATTTGTTTACTAGTTATTGTAAAAGTCATCTGAAAATGGTTCTTATTATTCCTTGTAATTATTTTTTTTTTTAAAGAGAGTGAGAGAGGAGAGAGAGAGAGAGAATTTTTTTTTTTTATTTATTTTTCAGTTCTCGGCGGACACAACATCTTTGTTGGTATGTGGTACTGAGGATCGAACCCGGGCCGCACGCATGCCAGGCGAGCGCGCTACCGCTTGAGCCACATCCCCAGCCCAATTCCTTGTAATTATTATTTTTAACCTTTGATAGCTATTACAGTATTCCTACTCTTTTTTTTAAGATTAATATGTTGCACAACTTTAAAAATTGGTTTTAATATTATGATGGGTATTACAAATGAGGGAGCTTTGAATTAGTAAAGTAATTCAGAGGTAAAATTTGGACACCACAACCTTATAGATCATCCTCACAGTACTGTTCTATTTTTGTATTAGCATATACAAAATCTATTTTATTTTTTTTCCTGAGGTGCTAAGGATCAAACATAGGGCCTCCCACTTGCTTAACAAGCACTCTACTACCACTTAGTTATATCGCTAGTCTGAAATCTACTGTTTTAAAGTTTAGCTATCAGTCCCTGGAAACAATTTTATTCAAGTTTAATTCAGTTTGCCACTTATGTACTTTTAAATGAGAGTAAAAATTTATAAGTGGTAAATATTGTTCCACATGAGCAAAGCTCCCCTATATTTCTAATAAGACTTCATAATATGGTCTTTGAGGCTTCATCCTTATTCTTATCTTGTTATGGTTTGGATATGAACTGTTCCCCTAAAGCTCCTATATTAACACAAGCATATTCACAAGTGAAATATTAGAATGTGCAATTTGTGAACCAGTGTTTCTTCACCATGCCCTTCAGCCATGCTGTTCTGCCACTTTTGGGGCCCAGAGAAATGGACTTGGCCAACCACAGACTAACCCTATGGAACTTTGAGTCAAAAGAAACTTTCCTTCCTCTAAGTTGTTCTTGCCGGGTATTTTGGTCACAGTGATGAAAAAGCTAATACATACTTAATGTCTACTATGCAGATATATGAGCCCAACCTTGCTGTTTATCATTCTAGAAATACTTATTTTTTGCTTAACACAAAGCATATTTATCATTAGTATGGTTATGTCTATATTCCTGTCGTAAGGTGCTGACCTTTTTGCTTTTCTTTTTAAACTCATTGCCTAGAAATGTTACCTCTCCACCATCTCTTCTGTCTCTCAAAATAATTGCTTAATAAATGTCTCCAAGTGGTTTAGACTTCAACATGAGCTAACTGTGGCTTGAAATTAACAGCAGTTCATAGTTTCAAGGGAATGGGATGGCTACTGGGTGAAAAGCCTAATTGCCTTTAAAAATTACTTATGCTTTATCATTTATTTTTTAGTTCAGATTATTTCAGGTACTTAGTAATATTTTGCTTTGTTGGTAGTTTTTAATTCGTACTTTGGTCATTTGCATGTCTGTTCTGATCCATGCCACAGTACATTTAATATTATTCAAGGAAATGTGCAGGTGTTTGTATTGTTTGGAAGTATGAATATTACTGTTACTCAAAAAATGTGGAAAAGTTAAGTGAAGCCTTCCTAAAAAGAATTTTCTATAGAAACGTTTGCAATTTATTAAGAAAGGGAAGATTTTGTTTAGCCATCATCTGCCTATGCATGCAATTGGTAATGTGCTGCTTTGGAGTCAAAATGATTATGAAAATGTGAAACCTATATATATTGTTGTCATGTTTGTGTTGCAACAGCCACTTAAGGGAGAGAGTGCATTATTACAATTCACATCTTTGCTATCACTTAGCATCTTATATAGTATTTTCATATCAATTTAATTTTGATAGTAATGCTGTTTAATAAGTGTTGCTGTTCGGTATTACTGTTGTATTTATCCGCTGAAAAGTTGAAGAAATTGTAGAGTTTGAAATTGACTTTCCTGTAAGTTTATGTTACATGCCTGTGTGCTGGGCATTCTGCTTCATCCCTATAGCATTTATAATCTTAAAGCCAAACTTAAAGCTATATGTATCATTGGTCTCTATTTTTTATATAAAGGTAAGGGAGATCATGTGGTTAATTAGTAGTAGTACTTATTATGATAGTTCAGAACATGGATAGGGAGTGGAATGGGAATTGGGTGGGTAAAATAGAGGACTGCTTTTTTTTAACCTTCATATAGTTTACATTTTTAATATTTGACACATTACTTTACAATTTTTAACATGTTTTGTTAAAATATGAAATCTAAAGTAAGAAACTACGCTTTGTAAATTGGTTCTTCCTATTCATATTTTTCATGTGAATTATGAAGTTAGAATAGCCCAAGGTACTAGCTTAAAAAAAGAATGATGGTATAAAATGGAGCCCATTTGAAGACAGCCATTCATTTTTCAAAATAAGAAGTTTTAGTTGGATAATTGAGAACTCAAAACTAATCTTTATTCCGTCCCATTTCACAAGTTTAATTTTTTTCTAGAGTTATTATGATAAGCAGTAGTAGGAAACAACACAGAATAGTGGAAATAATAGGCTTTGAAGTGAGATACCTGGTTGGTTGTTTGGTTTTTAAATACCTGCCTGCCCCTTTGTTACTTGTTTTATATATTAAGCCAGTTGCTTATTCCCATAACTCAGATAAGGAAATGGAAGTACAAAGTAATGAGCCAGAAGTCACAGTTATTTTAATTGGTAGTGGAAACCCATTAGTTTGACCCTAGGGCCTGTGTTAGTAATCACTCTGGCACCTTTTAAGTGTTATAAGGATTAAAGGCCATTTAAAAAGCATTCAGTCTTATTACTAAGTTGAGTACACTTTCATTTTTTTTCAGTTTTGTAAGTGTTTAAAATTAATTTTCTTTCATGAAGAGAATGTTAATTTTACAGCATAGAAAAAAGAAGTTAAAGGTCAAATGATGCAAATGTCTAATTCCTTGATTAAGAAAAGCTAATATGAAAAAGCTAGAAACTATTTAACAATACATATAA